TTAATATTATAAATATTTTGCTGGTAGCCCACAATTTATCACTGATATTGACAGCTTACTGTACCCAGAATAAAAAGCCTATGAACAAAGAAAGAACAGATTAACATCCAAGGTACAGACACAGTCGACTGATATTTCATCAATACGTCAATAGCGTTTACCATTCAACTTGGAGTGACTACAACTTGGTATACGACATGAATAGCGTAATAAAACAGTTGGTAATTTCAAAATTGTACAGATATATAACAAAATATGTATTTCTTTCGGATAAGACTTATACATGTATCTTAACTTAGGTTAATATATTTCAATGTTAATACAAATATCTTATGTAATTTAAATGCCCTGAATCAACCTATAATCGTTTTAAAATAGAACTAAAAAAAATTGGGACAAAAATAATCTTACCAAGAATGAGATTATTACAATTCTGCCATATATAATGAATGTTGGTAGGAAGTCAGTAATAAACACCCTGACAGTTAATCTTACCTCTCGTAAAATGATTGATAGGTGATTGTCACATTGATTCTCTACTTCTTCATCTTCTTGACCTATTTGATCAGAAACTCAGTCACGTTCAATTTAGTTTGGCCATCGATACCAAGGTTGAATATGAAGTGTTATGATGCGCTAATTTCTAGGAAAAGTTATAGATATGGCGTCTACAAAAAGTTTGGTAGATATTAGTGTGACCTCAATCTCGTTTGTATATAAACTGTTCACGCGTTGTGGCATTCATGGAAAATTTCTTATCAATTGATTGGTGTAACAATGATCCAGAATTAAAACAGGAAAATTGTAGATCTATATAATCTGAAAACCAGCAGTATGTCGGAAGTCTAAATTGTGATTAGCAATAGCCATGATTACGTCAATTTTGTGTGTAGCAGTAGTCTTGGTTACGTCAATTTTGTGTGTAGCAGTAGTCTTGCTTACGTCAAATTTGTGTGTAGCAATAGTCATGATGACATCAATTTTGTGTGTAGCAATAGTCATGATGACATCAATTTTGTGTGTAGCAATAGTCATGATGACATTAAATTTGTGTGTAGCAATAGTCATGATGACATCAATTTTGTGTGCAGCAATAGTCATGATTACGTCAAATTTGTGTGTAGCAGTAGTCATGATGACATCAATTTTGTGTGCAGCAATAGTCATGATCACGTCAAATTTGTGTGTAGCAGTAGTCTTGGTTACGTCAAATTTGTGTGTAGCAATAGTCATGATTACGTCAAATTTGTGTGCAGCAATAGTCATGATGACATCAATTTTGTGTGTAGCAATAGTCATGATGACATCAAATTTGTGTGTAGCAATAGTCATGATTACATCAATTTTGTGTACAGCAATAGTCATGATTACGTCAAATTTGTGTGTAGCAGTAGTCATGATGACATCAATTTTGTGTGCAGCAATAGTCATGATCACGTCAAATTTGTGTGTAGCAGTAGTCTTGGTTACGTCAAATTTGTGTGTAGCAATAGTCATGATTACGTCAAATTTGTGTGTAGCAGTAGTCATGATGACGTCAATTTTGTGTGTAGCAATAGTCATGATCACGTCAAATTTGTGTGTAGCAATAGTCATGATTACGTCAAATTTGTGTGTAGCAGTAGTCTTGGTTACGTCAATTTTGTGTGCAGCAATAGTCATGATTACGTCAAATTTGTGTGTAGCAATAGTCATGATTACATCAAATTTGTGTGTAGCAGTAGTCTTGGTTATGTCAATTTTGTGTGTAGCAGTAGTCTTGGTTACGTCAATTTTGTGTGTAGCAATAGTCATGATTACGTCAAATTTGTGTGTAGCAGTAGTCTTGGTTACGTCAATTTTGTGTGTAGCAGTAGTCTTGGTTACGTCAATTATGTGTGTAGCAATAGTCATGATTACATACTGGTATTTAGTCTCAATTATATCCGCAGTGTTTATACAACAATACATGCAGATAAAAACTTAAATATACTAACATTGTGTATAGATATAGTCCTGATCACACCAGCATAGTGTATAGATATAGTCTTGATCACACCAGCATAGCGTATATATATAGTCTTGATCACACCAGCATAGCGTGTATATATAGTCTAACTCACACCAGCATAGTGTATAGATATAGTCTTGATCACACCAGCATAGCGTATATATATAATCATGATCACACCAGCATAGTGTATAGATATAGTCTTGATCACACCAGCATAGTGTATATATATAATCATGATCACACCAGCATAGTGTATAGATATAGTCTTGATCACACCAGCATAGTGTATAGATATAGTCTTGATCACACCAGCATAGCGTATATACATAGTCTTGATCACACCAGTAGCTTGATCACACCAGCATAGTGTATAGATATAGTCTTGATCACACCAGCATAGCGTATATATATAATCATGATCACACCAGCATAGTGTATAGATCACACCAGCATAGTGTATATATAATCATGATCACACCAGCATAGTGTATAGATATAGTCTTGATCACACCAGCATAGTGTATAGATATAGTCTTGATCACACCAGCATAGTGTATAGATATAGTCTTGATCACACCAGCATAGTGTATAGATATAGTCTTGATCACACCAGCATAGTGTATATATATAATCATGATCACACCAGCATAGTGTATAGATATAGTCCTGATCACACCAGCATAGTGTATAGATATAGTCTTGATCACACCAGCATAGTGTATATATATAGTCTTGATCACACCAGCGTATATACATAGTCTTGATCACACCAGCATAGTGTATAGATATAGTCTTAATCACACCAGCATAATGTATAGATATAGTCTCGATCACACCAGCATAATGTATAGATAAAGTCTTGATCACACCAGCATAGTGTATAGATATAGTCTTGATCACACCAGCATAGTGTATAGATATAGTCTTGATCACACCAGCATAGTGTATAGATATAGTCTTGATCACACCAGCATAGTGTATATATATAATCATGATCACACCAGCATAGTGTATATATATAGTCTTGATCACACCAGCATAGCGTATAGATATAGTCTTGATCACACCAGCATAGTGTATAGATATAGTCTTGATCACACCAGCATAGTGTATAGATATAGTCTTGATCACACCAGCTTAGTGTATATATATAGTCTTGATCACACCAGCATAGCGTATATAGTCTTTATCACACCAGCATATTGTATAGATATAGTCTTGATCACACCAGCATAGCGTATAGATATAGTCTTGATCACACCAGCTTAGTGTATATATATAGTCTTGATCACACCAGCATAGCGTATAGATATAGTCTTGATCACACCAGCATATTGTATAGATATAGTCTTGATCACACCAGCATAGTGTATAGATATAGTCTTGATCACACCAGCATAGTGTATATATATAGTCTTGATCACACCAGCATAGTGTACAGATATAGTCTGGATCACACCAGCATAGTGTATATATATAATCATGATCACACCAGCATAGTGTATAGATATAATCATGATCACACCAGCATAGTGTACAGATATAGTCTGGATCACACCAGCATGGTGTATATATATAATCATGATCACACCAGCATAGTGTATAGATATAGTCTTGATCACACCAGCATAGTGTGTATATATAATCATGATCACACCAGCATAGTGTATAGATATAGTCTTGATCACACCAGCATAGTGTGTATATATAGTCTTGATCACACCAGCATAGTGTATAGATATAGTCTTGATCACACCAGCATAGTGTATATATATAGTCTTGATCACACCAGCATATCGTTTATATTTAGTCTTGATAACACCGGCATAGCGTATATATATACTCTTTATGACATAAGCATAGTCTATCGAAATCCCAATAATTTAGATTTTATTTTTCAGTTTGCATGGCACAAGTTTTGCAATGGCAGCATCGTGTTACAAAGACTTTATTGTTTCACTATTTTGTATAAAAACATCCTGTATAAGAGAACTACGTATAGAAGTTATGTAAAGTCAGAGCTATGTATATAAATCCATGAAGTCTCTATTACGTCAGCAGCTTTATCTACTAATCTAACTCTGTGTAAAATTATAAATCTAAAATACACGAGCATGATTTATAGACATAGTCTTGACAACAGTGGTGCGTGAAGTAACACTTGTAGTGTTAGTAACATCAGCGGTGCGTGAAGTAATACTATAAGTCTTAGTAACATCAATGGTGCGTAAAGTAACACTAGTATTCTTCCCAGCATCAGTGGTGCGTGAAGTAATACTAGTAGTCTTAGTAACATCAATGGTGCGTAAAGTAACACTAGTATTCTTCACAGCATCAGTGGCGCGTGAAGTAATACTAGTAGTCTTAGTAACAGCAATGGTGCGTAAAGTAACACTAGTATTCTTCACAGCATCAGTGGTGCGTGTAGTCGCATTTGTAACCTTAATTACATCAGCGGTGTGTTAACTAACTCTAGTAGTCTTAATTACATCAGCGGTGTGTTAACTAACTCTAGTAGTCTTAATTCCATCAGCGGTGTGTTAACTAACCCTAGTAGTCTTAATTCCATCAGCGGTGCGTGAAGATTCACTAGTCTTAATTACATCAGCGGTGTGTTAACTAACCCTAGTAGTCTTAATTACATCAGCGGTGCGTGAAGATTCACTAGTCTTAATTACATCAGCGGTGCGTGAAGATTCACTAGTCTTAATTACATCAGCGGTGCGTGAAGATTCACTAGTCTTAATTACATCAGCGATACCATCATAATATGGTATGGATTATTTGTAATTCTGTATGGTACAATATGTTTTCTGTAATTAATGTCATCTGTAAATGTAATAACATGATATCTTTAAGCGATGTCTAGTAACTCAGAAGAGGTGAATAAACAAAGTACCATTCGCACAATGTATAATTATGTATTAATCAGGGGTTTGCATAAGTTGATATGCGTTTGCAAACACTCGATTTAATCATTTACTCTTTGAACTTTTTTGTAATCGAGATGTTGTCAACGACCTCCAAGTGGCGCCACCTGTTGTCTCCGGTAGAATGTTGCAGTTCATTTGAACTCGCCTATTCTAACGATTTGCATAAGGTAATTTGTTATACTTGGAGTTTTTATTAACGTTTTTGGTTATTAGCTATAAATACAAGGATTGTTATTTATGTTCTTAGCGTGCATCGAAGTGTATTTGCATTAGGGTAACTATATATAACTTGGTGTGTTATGAACATCGGAAGTATACCATTAGAGCTTAATTAAATGTAGTTTTGACACTAGATATAAATAATTTTTTTTTTACAGAATTACGGAATGACCTAAAATAGTCCGTGAATTGTTTTTACTCTGGCTTTTAAGTTCTTGCAATTGCAAATATTCTCGTTATGTTTAGATGAATAGAACTGTTCTTTATTACTTCTTGTACCATAACGTAAACCCATATACTGACGTCACAACATATCCACAAGCATGTAGAACGATAACAATAATGACGCATAACGCATTGGAGGTCGGAATGTAGAATTCACGATATTTGATATAAAACTTGAAATGCACACAAAAATGTCTTTCGCTAGTCCGTTCCTTTTTTTTTTTTTTTTTTTTATATCTCGGCGAGTTGCATGATTGACAGTCTACACTTATAATGGTGGATAGCATGAGTTATATAAAAGGGGAAGGAAGATTCAACATGTACATTTTACATGACAAATGAGAGCTTTTTTTGCATTTATTGTTTTTGCGAAACAAAAACACTGAACATCAACAGTAAACACATAATGCCTGCAATACCAACACCCATGATCCAGTATAATCAAATCAAAACAAGCAATTGGCGTACACAAGTTGTGCAAATGGAGGGACTGAAATAGGCACATTTATTTCGCAGAATATGTAGCTACATTTCGAATGGTTTCCAAATGCACAGATCTTTTGTTTACAGATATAGAGAGTCTGCAAACTTTTGATTTTGAATAAGAAACATTTACTTCTGCGATATAAAGTTGGATGTGTCTGATGTTACATGTAGTATGTCAGATGGCTTCATTGCTGTTTACCTCTTTTACATTTAGGAATGTGACATTACTTACATTGATTCATCAAGGTTTGAAAGACGGGTGTCTTCAACAGAGCAGAAAACGAAAAGCTTCCATTAAAGTTGGTTTTGTTATCTTTGCGCGTTTTTAGGAGTCTGCGTGTAAATCTTTGTTTTGGTAATCTTTTGCCATAGTATATTGAACATGAGTTTGAATAAAGATTATGTTGGCACAGATGTATTTCCGTTATTTAATTTTTTTAGATTCTTCATCATATTTGTGCAATACTGAAGCAAAGTAATGAAAACCACAAATTATGATACACTAAACCGAAGTAAGGCGGCTTTTTCACTAATTGATATACATGTATAAGATGTTCAGACAAACCATACAAAGAAAAAGCTAGTCTGCCATGCGTTTGTCCCCTATACGTATTTTCCTTGCGAATGATTTTAAAAATTATTGTGGTGATGCCAAAACACTACATGATAGCCTGAATATATGATATTATATCTGATCTTCGTTTGTTATAGACAAGTATAAAAAAAACCATTCAACAAATTAACATGTGTTGTATCTTTCTTCTTCCTACCTGTCTATTGGAAATAAAACGTTTCCGACGATTATCGCTTCATTCAAGTTCAGTTTCGTTAGTACGCCATACAATAAAATCAACTCTTTTGATATATTTCCTTTGTACTATGATATGATTCATTGTATTTGTAATTCAGACCTAAAATGATTAAATAAGACGTGTTTTAACAGTGCCTTGGTCTTGCTCTTGGTTGAAGGATCCATGTGACTAAAAAATATATCTGTAGCAGCTACCGATTACGTCATCAGAAATGTATGAAAGAATGCTTTGAAGTCGTATTGGTAGACAAGTTATAATCTTGATATACATTATATATACCTTTTAGGCAACACCAAATGTAAAGGACGATTATTTTCAGTGGTTGAAATTGTCATGGTTTTGAGAAAAGCTTTCAGGGAAAAGCGGGTATTTCTAAACGAATCTGTGGAACGGACAATGGGTTTCATTGTCAATCTTATTTTCATTGCACACAATTCTCTCGATTTCAATCCATCTTTGAAAAAAGCCACCGACTGTGCAATCTGATAAGTAATGAGAGATGAAATTAATTAAAACAAATAAATATTATCTAAATAAAATGACAAAATGAATATCAATTCTCTTTTACTCTCGTAACTTGACGAATATTTCCCACGTATGTTTTATTAAACGCATTTTAATGTCCCCTTTTTTTATATTTCTCACTGTGTCTACTGAATGCGGTTAGATCTTTAAACGATACTGACCTACTTCTCTACATATAGACATGGCTTTCTTATCGATTGGAGATAGCGTGTTTATAAAAACCTGCAACCTAGGTTTACATGCAAAATGTATAAACGTTTTACCCATCTTGAGGACTAGGCACTAAATATAGACAACAACACTAAATAAATCAAATCAATTTATTGTTTTCCTTTACCACTTCAAAGACAAATGAAAACGACAGAAAAGGAAATGGCAAGATTTCCGGCGAGAAGAGAAGACGATAATGAAATAGAGACAGTGAATACTATCAACTTCTTGTCAATTTAGCTAAAACAAAACCATACTGACATCAGTTTTAACAGACGCACCATGCATAGTTAACGCCATAATGACATGTTTGCTATGTGAGCGCTGTAATTGATCGGAGATGGCACTGTGCTGTATAAGCCAGTGATGATACATACACAACATTGAAGTACTTAATGTAAGTTCTCTGGTGGGAATATGATTTCATAAAGTCACTCTTCTTCCATGATCTAAACATACGAGGAAGTTTCCAAATACATGTTACCAGCGCAATGCTGAAATGTTTATGTTCTCTTTGTGTGTAATCAATGAAAAAGAAATGCTGTTATTTAAAGCAAATAGTAAACATAGTGACCTATGTGTTTCGTAGTACGTGTAAACTGCAGGGTATAACGTTCGTCTTTACGAGCGCTGTTTGAAAGGTCTCTCCCCCTCGCTCTCTCAAAGGGGGCTTCTGACACTCTTACTCGTTATTCAAGCCAGATTTTAAAAATAGAATATAAAGAAGATACTAAATCGACGCTACTAGTACGTTGTAATTTGGCCCACAATAGAGTGAAGCACAACCTAAATCGTTCAGGCATGAATGACATTTTGTCGTAAAACATTATGGAAAAACAAACGCCTTGATTTACTGTATGAACGAGAATCAAACACGATGCTGGTATAAAACACGGCAGCAGGAACATCTCGATGGGAAATGTACAAGTGATACACGGCACCATGTGTTCATAGACAGCATGTATCATACACCTCGATAGCAGATACTATTTTTACATAGCAGTTTTTGATTCCCGGTTTTGTTAAGTTGTAAATGACAAATATAGCTTGAGGATACCAATAGCATGTCGTAATACCACATTTCTGATTGACTGTGCTATAAATGGAATTCATTCAATGCAGTATAGTGCAGTAGAGAGCAGGCAAATTTGTTGTTTTCGTTCATGAGCCTGTTGAAAAAGAGACTGGAAAACCGCATATTGATTACGGCAGATGGTAATATAATTGACACAGATTAGATTTCGATTAGTGAAGTTAAGCTTTATTAGAACGCTTTGATTTGGAACTGGACTGAGGCGATATGTCAATCAATACATTATAGCCAACAGTTATTTAAATCTGGCTCCCGGACATTCCGAAACAAAGAACATGTTTCCCATAATTTTGATAAAAAATCTCTACTTTGCAGCTGAAAGGGTTTAACACCACTATCTAACGTTTAATTACACTTGTTGATCAATAAGTAGTTACTGGGCTAGGTCTACTGGAATACCGATTTGTCGTTTTGGCATTTGACAGATCTCTGCTTTTATTAACGTCATCGTGAGTGCTTGGTTTTTGTTAATGCATTAATCTATGGCTATAGACGCCTGCAGCAACAACGTCATTTGGGAGTATGTCTGGCCGTATAAAAGAGAGCACGGATTCCACATGAAGAAGAGGACTATACTGTGCCGACGTTGAGTTGTAGTCGATCCCGTGACAAAGATTATTTGGTCGTCAGCACCAGCTTCCAAAGATCAATAGCACGGAGAAAATGCAAGCAGTCCTGGTAAATCTGATCCCCCCAAACCGTATGTTGGATTAGCTAGCCAACATTCACTCAAAGGAACAAGTTGTTTTTATGCCAGAAATGTATGGGAATGCATGTACAAAATTGAACCACAGGCAGTGAACGAACAAAACACAGCAGGAATGAAAAAACTATGTATGGTTCAAACACGGATTCGTCAGTAACAGTCAGATGAAATTGGCGCCAAGAGTGTACCCCAAACGTACCATGTATCGGAGGGTCTATCGTGGGAGTACGCCCATACAGACAATACATAATCGGTATTGTCATATCTAAAAAAATTGGATTACCGATGGACAGTAAAAAGTGGGCTGGGCTAGATTTGTGTGACTGTATTCATTCTCTAACTGCCTTTGTGACTGGAACCAAGAGATCTCGGCAATTCGGAAGTCCAATGTGGGATGTCGTAATAGTCAGTGTTATGTGATGGTGAATGGTCAGTCTATTTAGACTAGGTTCTATGATGACCAGTAGGCGATGATACTGTGGATACGTTATGCAGCCAGTGTCTTATCTCTCGCTTTAGGTAAGTATACAAAATGCATTTGAGCTGCTCATTATATTCTTTTACTTTTTACGTTAGACAAACTTAAGAGCTAAAGAATGACTTACACATGTCTGAGGGATATTACTTAATGAATGAATGTAGAAAAGACGTGATTTATGTAGGTGAAACATAGAGTAATTATCCTGAGTACATAGCTCATAACAAGGTCCTGGTGGGTAGAAATCTACATTATTATCTTGGGCACGGTACACATAAACAGACCCTGTTGGGTATAACTCAACATTATTATCCTTAAGTACAGAACACACATCCAAGTCCTGGTGGGTAGAACTCTACATAATTATACTGAAAACAGAACACCTAACCAGGTCCTGGTGGGAAAAAGTCTAC